TGAGAATTTAGGGTTTAGGGTTTAGGGTTTGGGGTTTAGGGTTTAGAGCTGAAAAGCCCTTAGAGCCTAAAGCTGTGGCCCACGGCCTACGCCTAGGCCTAGGGTTTAGGGCTTAGGGTGTAGGGCTTAGGGTTTAGGGTTTAGGGTTTAGGGTTTAGGGTTTAGGGTTTAGGGTTTAGGGTTTGCGGACCAACTGGGTGTAGAGGGGATGGTTTCGGAATTCGCGGCGCCGCAAAGGCCAGTCTTCGGGAGGGAAGTTTTGGAGTTGTTCTCTAAAATAAATAAATAAATAAATAAATAAATAAATAAATAAATAAATAAATAAATAAATAAAAATAAATAATAATAAATAAATAAATTAATAAAAGTAAAGAGGCAAAAAAACCCTAAAAGAAAGGAACACAAACCCTTTAATGCAAGACTTCAAACCCTAAACCCTAAAAGACCCAAAACGAGCCCCAAGGGACTGAAACCCTAAACCCTCAGCAAAACCCTAAACCCTCAGCAAAACCCTAAACCCTCAGCAAAACCCTAACCCCCCAGCAAAACCCCAAACCCTCAGCAAAACCCCAAACCCTCGGGAAAACCCTAAACCCTCGGGAAAGCCTAAACCCTCAGGAAAACCCTAGACCCTCGGGAAACCCTAAACCCTCGGAAACCCTAAACCCTCGGAAAGCCTAAACCCTCAGCAAAACCGCAAACCCTCGAAACCGCAAACCCTCGGAAACCCTAAATAAGGGTTTTCGGACTTGGCGAATTTTTTGAATTGTCTTTTGATTTCTTCGCGAGCTTGGGATTTGTCTTGTCTTCTTTTTTCGACTGTCTCCTCAACTAGTCTTCTTCTTATTGCAGCCCATTCCCCCGAAGGGACATTTCCCCCCTGCCAGCGGGGGTCTTTGCCGAATCTGCAAACCCTAAACCCTAAACCCTAAACCCTAAACCCTAAACCCCACACGCAAGCCCCCACCACCGGCCACACCCCACGCCCGCTCTCGCCAAAGTTCCAGCTTCTGAACGCCCAAATCCACTAACTTAAACCCTAAACCCTAAACCCTAAACCCTAAACCCTAAACCGTAAACCCTCGGTGGCCAAACGTCCAACTTCTAGGAGCCCAAATCCATGAAATGGCGCCATTGGGAAGCTAAACCCTAAACCCTAAACCCTAAACCCTCAATCCATTTAGTTTAAATTCGCTCCAAGAGACTCCTTTCCGGCCCTAAACCCTAAACCCTAAACCCTAAACCCTAATGCAAATGCCCCCGAACCTTCGCCTCTCCTAAAAGTGTCTAAAGCCTAGGGTTTAGGGTTTAGGGTTTAGGGTTTAGGGTTTACCTTCGCTCGAGTGTCTCTACAGTTGAAGAGGAATGCACATGTCCCTGAGCCTTCGCTTCGTCCAAAAGCTGCCGCAGCGCCTCAATGTGCTGCAGCAGCAGCAGCAGCAGCAGCAGCAGCAGCAGCAGCAGCAGAATAAGTAATTCTGATAAATGAACTGGCATTTGGCAGCAGAAAAGCAGCAGCAACAGCCGACACTGAAGAACAAATGAAAATAATAAAATTAAATTAAAAAGAAAGAAAATTAATGAGAAATAACAAGAAATAAACCATCAACGCCCAGCAGCAGCAGCAGCAGCAGCAGCAGCAGCAGCAGCAGCAGCAGCAGCAGCAGCAGCAGCAGCAGCAGAAGTCGTGTCTTTTGCAACTTGAGGAGACGGCGAGAAGCTCGGAAAGCCGCAAATGAAAAGGCGGAAAACAAAACAAATAAAACAAATAAAACAAAATAAATAAAAGAAATAAAAGAAATAAAGAAATAAAAAGAAATAAAATAAATTAAATTACTTCTTTTTGGCCTTTTCTGCTTTCTGCTGCCAGCTCTTTGATGCAGCGGTCAAAAAGTCTTTTCCGCTGATCTGCTGTTATCGCGCTGAAGCGCGGCTGGTATACTAGCCGCGGCAAACACTGCAGCAGCAGCAGCAGCAGCAGCAGCAGCAGCAGCAGCAGCAGCAGCAGCGGCGGTGCCGAGAGCAGTGGCAGCAGAAGTTCAGAGAGCAGCAGCAGCAGCAGAAGTGTCGAGGGCAGCGGCAGAAGAGCAGCAGCAGCAGCAGCAGAAGTGCAGACAGAAGCAGCAGAAGAGCAGGAAGCAGCAGCAGAAGTGCAGCAGCAGAAGCAGAAGAACGGCAGCAGCAGCAGCAGCAGCAGCAGCAGGCATGAAGACCAGCAAAAGCAGCAACAGCAGAAATGGAAAGCAGCAGAAGCAGCAGCAGCAGAAATGCGGACAGAGCAGCAGCAGCAGCAAAAGCAACAGCAGCAGGAAGGAAGACCAGCAGCAGCACCAGCAGCAGCAGAAAGATCAGCTGCAGCAGCAGCAGCAGCAGCAGCCACATTGACATTCAAGTAGCAGCTGCAGCAGCAGCAAACAGAAGCAGCAGACACAGCGACTCCAGGCAGCAGCAGCAGCAGCAGCAGTGAAAGGAACTAAAAGAAAGAGCTGCTGCTGCTGCTGCTGCTGCTGCTGCTGCTGCTGCTGCTGCTGCAGCAGGTATACCTTTTCGTAAACAGCAAAAGGGCCGAAGTTTTCTTCGCGCAGCATTTCTTTGAAAGCTTCCATTCTTCTTTCCAAATCTTTTAAATAAATTAATTCTTTATTTTCTTCTTCCGAAGAATCACCATCAGAAGAGTCTTCCTCGCTTGCTGCTGCTGCTGCTGCTGCTGCTGCTGCTGCTGCCTGCTGCTGCTGCTGCTGCTGCTGCTGCGGAGCGGCTCCGCGCCAGCCGCTGCTGCTGCTGCTGCTGGGGGCGGGGGCGCTGGGGGCGGGGCGG